GTTAATTCCGTTAAATCAATCATCGCTTGTATGCCACAGCCTATTTGAGAATAGTTGCTGACTCATGGCCACAATTTACCCATCTTCTAATGGCTACTCCCAGGATGATAATGCACCGTGTCACAAAGCAAAAGGAAAAGTCATCTCAAACTGGTTTCATGAACATTACAATGAGTTCAGTGTTCTTCAGTGGCCTTCCCAGTCACCATATCTGAATCCAATAGAACACTTTTGGGATGTGATAGAATAGGAGATTCATAGGATGAAAGTGCACCTGAAAAATCTGCAGGTATTGTGTGATGCAATCATGTCAATATGGACCAGAATCTCAAAGGAATGTTTCCAACATCTTGTGGAATCCATGCCACAAAGAATTGAGGCTGTTCTGAGAGCAAAGGGAGGCCCTACCCAGTATTAGTATAGTGTTCCTAATAAAGTGCTCGTTGAGTGCAGTTGTGAGGGCAGAAGGGATATAGAAAATTGATAATTGAATTCAATTATCCTCAACAGTATTTTTTTGAGCCAGGTTTTATTACTGACCTCCATGGCTGATGACTCTTTTGTAGGGCTCAATGGCCCTCATATCGACCCGGTGGTCCTGCTCCCCAATACGGAAGATCCTCCAGCGTCGGCCATCTTCGCGCTCGTCATAGGCTGAATATTCGGTCACTGATTCCACACCCTTCTGCAGCACATCAGTGCTTTTGGGTTTTGGTAGATCATCTGAAAGGCAGAATCAAGAGTCAGAGATAAACATCTGTGTATTTGTTTTCTCCTGTAGTGTCTACATTTTCATAAATCACTGGTGCTCTTGTGCTCTTCAAATAAAAGAACACCCTAATGCAAAATTCAAATTCCTCCCACATTGAGGATTACTACGCTAGGAAGCCAAGCAAGTCTATAAATTATATGTACTAAGGGGGAAAAACCCTTTGTACCTACTTGCTTTAAGGCTCACATTTTGCTTACAACATTCGTCTGAGAAAGACTTAATTTTCTCAAACATCAGCTACTTGATGAAAATCACAAAAGTTTCAAAGAAACCACTGGTCAAACCAAGACAATTTTTAACACCTAATCAAAAGGAAATCAATCAAATCAATCAACTGATGAACAGCACTTCAAAAGTATTTCAGAAGAAATGCTATAATTCTTAATGTAAACCTCTGCTTCAAGGAACAAAATAAAACTTGTGTGACTCTACTGATACTTTAAATAAAATTAAATTGACAACTGCAATGACAGACTTTCCTTTAAAGAATGTTCCACCAAATTGAATTTTCCATATTTTCTCTTCAAAAAACAGACAGATCATAAGCCAACTTTTACTATGAACTTGCATTCTTAATATTTATTGAAATTTACTGGGTGATTCACAGATACTGATTTAGAACCATGCAACAATGATACATTATGATAATAAAAAGGAAAAAAAAAAATCAGCAGTGGACAATTGAATGGACTAGGAATCACTGATAGTGCTGAATTATTCAACAGGCATGTGTAAAAAAAAAAAAAAATCAAAATAATGAATAACCAATTAAGAGGAATGTGCAAAATCAACTTGGTATGGATTTGGCATGAATAGTCACCCAGGTAACCTTACCACAGAGGGCAGGCCAGAGGCCTACTCCCAACCACTAGGAGGAAACAATCCATCCAGGACAGTGAGAGAATGGCAGCAGAGTGGAAACACAAAACAAGAACACTATTTAACCATAAGGTAATATATAAGGGCTTCTTGGACTCAGTTTCCTGATGAGAGACCACTTGAAAAAGGTTGCAGGTCTTAAGGAGTACTGCAGGAATGCCTAAGAGCTTAGAGCGATACCTATAGCTAGTTAGGTCAATCAAGTGTGTTAGGAACTCTTTATTTATCTGGAGTTAGGACTAAAAAGGGAATCTTAAGATACAGCAGACCTGAGAAGATATCAAACACAATGGTTCTCCTTCCACTCTTACCTTCCCATTCAAATTCGTTGCTGTTGTCTGACGGGGTGTCCATGCCGTCCAGGTCTAACTCTGTGCTTTCATCCAGCTCATCAGAAAGCACAGAGCCCTCACTACGATCGAGGTTCAGACTGATATCTGGGGCCAACAGTCTCCTCTTTGTGTTCTTGCCATTATTCGGAGCTACAGAATAGTTTACAATGAGCAATAAGGATAAGCAGTAAGGATACTTAATATTACACTTTAAAAGGATACATATTTTAGGTTTCATGGTGTTTTAGTCAAATGGTTGGTTTAGGGTGGTGCAAAAATGACATCCCATAGATACTTCAGAGCAGGTTTTGGTTTAGGAATTGAAATGTTCACATTGCTAGGTTTTGTAAATTATTAATGAATCTTCCAATACATGACATTAAAATATTTACATATTAGCTTGACTATTATTCTATACATAGTGCGTGTAGTTACGTGTTTTGTTATGGCTGTTCAAGCCCTTAGTATCAGAATCAATTTCCATGACAATATGCAGCAGACAGAGGCTAAACACTCACAGAGAAATACAGAGAGTATAATTTTACAATGTAGAAAGTGTCAGGCCATGCATTAGGGTATGTGCATTTATTATTTATGGTCTGTTACCTGTTACGTATATACACCTGTTTATGAACATTTAGCTAGAAATGTCACATTTTGTGGGATTAAAAAAATACTTACAAACTTAAATACTTTTGGACGTGCATGCTCTATTACAGCTTTAGGAAAAATGCCAGCCACGAAAGCAACCAACTGCCTAGTTGTTTCCTGTCTTCTTATGCTTTTTGTTGTTTAGGTAATGCTAATCAGAAGAGTGCTTGCTAATTTGGACTGTTATCCATTCCTAGCAAAGCAGAGCAGTGTGTATCCAGGTTCAGTGGGGAAAGGGATACACTACCCCCCAACATTCAACCTGAAGAACTAACATAATCCAAGTTACATTACATGGTGTACAAGTGGTCTGTCCTTTACTGGGTCAGTTGGTGGTAATTTATCTGTTATAGAAGTGGTACATTACAGTTTCTTAAATTTTGCACTCTTGAAATTTATGTCTACGGTAGGTCATTTCTGCACCATCTCTAACTTCAAAGCCAAGCATCTGACGAACAAAAAAATTCTACACATCGTTTAAAAGATAACCCAAAAAAATTCTGCCAGTCCATACCAGAATCTTCCTCTCCACATGTGTGGGTGAAGAGATGTTCATCATCAAGGTGAATCTCTCCTTCTTCAGGTAGTGGTCTTCAAATTTAGTGAGAAAAGTGAAACTTGTAAATTTTCAACTGGGATACAAAATATGTGTTTAATATATATGGCTCCTTAGAGAGGACACATAGACTGCTGCTTAGTATTGCACTAGGTAAGCCAAATAAAAGGTTCTGAAACCTCAACTATAGTGAAACATCCATTAAAACATTGAACAAAATTCACTGTACAGTCCTTGGAAAAAAGAAATTTAAATAACCTTTATCTAAATGCACCTTCATTTAACATTTAGCACTTAATTACCTGGGGAAGTCCTCATCTTGCCACTCCTCTTTGAATTCCATTCCTTCCATTCGTAATCGAGCCTCTGTAGTGCTGACTGATTCCTGACGCTCAAAACTAAAATATAAAAGATACAATCACTTAGGCACTTTGGCTTTGACAGACAGCTTGCTTGCCTTTGAACCAGAGCTTTTGTTGCCGTCAACTTCTGTGGTTTAGCAGGTAATTCACTCGCAACAAAACTAGGCTTGCTGAGCCTCAGTGTGACTCACTGCTGCTTCTCCACCTGAATCATGTTACAGTCATCCTGAACCTGTCTCTGGAGTCGAGCAGGTTTACTGTTCCCTAGGAAGCCTTTTGGATTTAAGAGACTCAGACTCTGCAAGACAGTGCATTACTGCCTACGTCATCCGAAAATTACTTAACTACATGCAGGCAAGTGCTGACATACACACAAGCTTTGGAGTCTGTACAGTATACAGGGCCTACCAAAGAATAATACAAACTTCCACAGAACTTCATGAAAATAACTGTTGAATAAAAGATAACGAGAATCTGAACTTTCATCACATTACTGATGAAAAGACTGTCAGTGGAAATCTTTCTACATGGTTGCAGATTTCTGCAGTGTGTTGGATTTGCAGCAGAGGATTAACATATTTGGAAGTTTTGCTGTTTGGGATTAAAGCAGTTGCAGTAGGCTATTTGTAGGATGCTCTTTTGTCAGCATGTACATTACAAACCGGTTTATGTGTACGTTAAGTGGAGGTGTGATCTGCTACTATATTGTGAAGAAAAGTTAAATCGTAGTATTGCTTAATGGTGAGGAGAATGATGAAAAAACAAATGTTTTCATTTTTGCTTTCATTTAATGGTAAAATGCATTCATTGATTTAAGGGAATTGTTAATGCTGTGTATACTGTATGCATGACTGTTCAAGCAAAATGTGTTCATTTTGTTAATTTAATGTATGTTTGCCACAAAAGATATTTTGATATAATTTTGACATACAAAAACAAAGTAATAACAAGGAATGCTGAAAACCTCCAAATCACACCTCCATATCAGTGTTTAGTATTCACACATAACTTGAACAATACTCTGAAAAGAATTTGATATAGATGATATAGATGTCCAAAACCTCAAATGCCTTAAATGTATGAAATGAGTGCTGTAAATTTCTACTTTTAATTTGTTACAGTTGCAAAGCATGATTAAACTTATCCAAGAAATTATTATGTAAAGCAAAAAAAAAGTCATTCATATAATAACTGGTAATCCATTTAAAAGGTGGCCCTCAGATGTGAGGATGAACGAACATAAACACTGGCTTACTGTCTCACAGCTAATTACCATGCCATCCACTGCTCCTGTTAGAGGTTGCCACAGCAGATCATTGGTTTATATTTGATTTAGCAGTTTTTACGCCAGATGCCCTTCCTGACGCAACCCTCCCCAGGTGTATCTGGGGGAGTGGGACAGGCACTGGGACTGCACTGTCTTGTGCAACCCCAATGGCTGCGGTTGGTTCCCTGGCGGGGAATCGAACCCCGGTCGTGGCAGTGAGAGCGCTGAGGCCTAACCACTAGCCCTCCAGGGACCCTTCAAACAAGATGCTAGTAATAGTAAACCTCCTATACTTCACAGGCTGACTTCTTCATATTGCTATGCTCTGTATCTACAGGGTGTCCAAAAAGTCAGGAAACAATCAGACTAAAACTACATAAACATAATTTTGTATTTAATATTTATAGCATATGCTCTACATCTTCACTTTTACTCTCTATGCATTTTCACAGCCACTGCATCTTGTTTTTGTGGATTCTACTCAACATGCTTGGATCGGCATATTTGCTCAACATATTCCCACTGGTTCCTGACTGTTTGGACACCCTGTAATTTTCAAACAGAAACAGGAAAAATGAGTTAAATGATTAAACAAACTAACCGACACGTTCATTTGATTTCTGGGGCAGTTAAATAAGGAACTGAAGTGATAACTCCATAGACCATTTATGAACATCTTTATAGCACAACTGCTGCGCAAAACATGTTATTTGACACTGAATAACATTTTTTGCAGTATTTGCGCCACAACATTCATAAAAGATATAAACAATGAGGTGAGCTGTATGTGTCTTATGTTGACCATCCACGAATAAGCATTTGTAACTGGAAAATATTTTGAAAACCGGAAATCCCCTACCTATGGCACTGCAACTCCAGTGCACTACAGAATCACATATTGACTCATGTCACATAAACATGCACATGTGTAAAAAGCTGCATTCACATCTGTCTGTGTGATAAAGAACCTGTGCACTTGCATAACACTGCTGATGACATAATGAGATAAACTGATCATCTTAAGCATGTCTTATGCATTTCTATACCCTCGTTTTTCCAGTATGATCACTTGATGCTTTTAGAAAATTATTGTTTACATACACTATATTACATTCACAATATATTATATCATGGTACCTTTCTAGAGCACAGGTTCTCTAGAGCACCCTGTCCTGCACATTTTAGCGATTTTCCTGCTTTAACACATCTGATTCAATTAATCAGCTAATTAATAGCCCTTCCTGAGTTGAAGTGGGTGTGTCAGAGTGGGGAAAACACTAAAATGTGCAGGACATGCTTTACTCCAGGACCGGGGTCGGGAACATGTGTTTACTACTCGCACTAGCAAGTCACTAAGTAGACGTTAGCATCCTTTAGATGTTAGAATGCTTAATTATCCTCTTGCTCCCTGTAAATTACTTTAAAAATTTGTAAATACTGAATAAAAAGCTTTTGAGCTTTTAAAGCTTTTGCTCTACTATTTGCTTGCCACTGTCAAAAGTGTCAAATTGCACATCCATAGGTTTAATATTTTCACATTCATTTTTCATCATAAAAAATATGCATGTAACTATGTAACAGCTGACTGTAAATAAGGTATTATTTTTCCATCTTTATTATCCTGATTATTGCACAGAACAATAATTTGAGGCTATTACGGGCAGAGGCACACCCAAACTGGATAGTTGAAGATTAGGGGGAAGAAAAAAAAAACCTGGTCTTTTTCCAGTCTTCAAATGTCCAGTTTGGGTGAGTTTGTGCCCATGACAGCCTCAGATTCTTGTTCTTGGCTGAAAGCAGTGGATCCTGATGTGGTCTTCTGCTGTTGTAGCTCATCCACCTCAAGGTCTGATGTGCTGTGCTTGCTGAGATGCTTTTCTGCTCACCACAGTTATAAAGAGTGCTTATTTGAGTTAATGTAGACTTCCTGTCAGCTCAAACCAGTCTGGTCATTCTTGTCTGACCTCTCTCATCATCAAGGGGTTTCAGCCTGCAGAACCTCTGCTCACAGGACGTTTTTTTTTTTTGTTTTGTTTTGTTTTTGCACCATTCTGTGTAAACTCTAGAGATTGTTGTGTGTGAAAATCCCAAGAGATCAGCAGTTTATGAAATACTCAAACCAGTCCATCTGGTACCAACAACTATGTCATGGTTAAAGTCACAGAGATCACACTTTTTTTCTTCTTCTTTCTGATGTTTGATGTGAACATTAAATGAAGCTCGTGACCAGTATCTGCATGATTTTATGTATTGTGCTGCTGCCTCATGATTGGCTGATTGGATAACTGCATAAATAATTAGCGGGTATTCCTAATAAAGCGGATGGTGAATATATACATACATACATACATACATACATACACACACCCACACACACATACATATATATATATATATATATATATATATAATATTTGTATATAAATATATATATATATATATATATATTTATTTATTTGTGGGTGGGTGGGTGGGTGTGTGTACAGGTGATAAGAGAGAAAAATACGAGAGTGACAGAAGGAATGGGACACAGAAACATAAACTTGGTTCGCATTTACATGACAATTATTGCTACTGCTTGAACCTGTAAAAATGGGCCCCCTGAGTGGCGCAACAGAAAACGTTCGCCTTATTGTCCGGAGACTGAGTCATGAGATTGTGGGAATCTGTAAGCTCATGTATGTGGAAAGGGGTGGATAGCACTTTCCTCAGAGTGTGTTACACTGCCCTGTGATGCAACATGAGCAGCAGGTTCGAAAAGATCCGGCTGGTTGGCTTCACGTGACTCGGAGGAAACAATAGCCCTCTCCCTTCAGGTTTGGTAGTTGTCGTATGATGGGGAGACCTAACTGGTGGGTGGGAATTGGCCAAGAATATATAAATGCAACTGAACCATTTTTTAACAGTTCACCTACATGATGAGGAGCTCAAGTGGTCATCTATGACTTCCTGTTTCACTCTGGTATAAATAAGAAACCAAAACTCCTTCATTTTTCATCACCATAAGGAAGATCAGAGCAGTGGTACTGTGGGGTCCGGGGACTGCCAGGTTACCACGAAGCATACATTCTCAGAAAATGGGTACTAAACAGTACATCTGTAGCCATGAGAAAGCTGGACACTCCTCTACCCCTGGTGTGGTTCCCCTCTTTGGTACCTTTAAAATAGATCTTTTCCCTAGAAATGTCCATGTAACGTACCTTTTAAAGCTTTACTCTAAAAGGTAATTACAGTCCAATTATGTACCTTACATCATTTTTAAAAGCACTTCTTAGTCATGTATCTAGGTAAAATTTACATAGTAAAGGCACAAAAGATTCGATCCAAACCTCAATACCTTGAAAACAAGTAAGCCTATAAATAATGAATCTAATGTGTTCTGTTGGTGGAAAGTTTATGAACAGAAATAAATATATCACTGTAATAAACAGACAAATTATTATTGTACACTGGTCATTAATGTTCATGAAATAAACCTATGCTGAATGGATTAGTGGAATTTACTTTACAGTTAAAAGAGTGACCTGGACGCAAAAAAAAAAAAAATAAATAATAATAATAATAATTGAGACCCTATGTATTAGAGAATGCACAAACGAAAAGTGACAAATCTGTGTTGACATGCATAAGCAGAAACCTGACAATTCCCATGTCCAGTGCAGGGTTTGTGATGAACTTCCAGCTGCCAGGTTATTAAAGGAAGCCTGGACAGAGGATGAAGGTGTAACATGTGGATGAGAGGACTGGCTCTCTTACCTGCCATTATGTTCCAGTGCAGAGTGCGCGTGCGGAAGCTTCACCGGCGCGCTGCTGTGTGTAAGTCTCGACTCCTCACTTTGCTCTTTATGTGAACTTTCCTCTTGCACTCCTTCTGGTTTTCTCGGACTGGACAGGACAGGTGGATCCTGTGGATTATCTGCAGAAGTCATGGCCTGTGTGGGTGTGCAGTCTGCTGTCAGTGCGTGTTCATCGCTTCCTTGTTCAGCGACGCGACCTGACTTGTTTTCCAGCGTCGCACTGATTCTGGGTGTGTCTGCTTCACCACTGCTCTCCTTAATCACCCTGTTATTAGTGTCAGTCTGGTTCAAGCTGCCTTCACTCTCGGTCGCATCTGTAGCCATGAGCGAGCTGGACAGTCGATTTAAATAAGAAAAAAGTGAAGAGCTGAAGTGCAGGAAGCTCCACCAGCACCCCAACCAAAACAAGCCAGTGTGACCAGCTAGCTTAGCCTAGCCTAGCCTAGCTAATCAAAATCAGGCTGGAAAGAATTCTTCAGCTCGGCCTACCAGCTAACCAACTAACCATAACACTGAATTCACCAGTAAACATTTACTATTAACTCACTCAGAATAAGCAACCGACATGTCTAACTGTCATATAATACGAGAAACCCGCTGTTTTTAGTCAAAGTCCAGTGGCCGGCTTTGTTGAGCTTCTTCTCCGTCTCTTCCTTCCTGCAGCAGAAGTGTTGACGCCGCTTCAGCTAATCAGCTAGCTCTCAGCTGGACTGCTGACGGACAGGAACTGACACTTACAGCACACTGAACAGCAAGCTCTCCGAGACCCATGCGGCCAAAATAACACCTAGATTCCACAAATGAGCTCTTATCTTTACGACATTATTCACTGCTGGACGGAACACGAGCCGCACTGACACTCTCTCCAGAGCATGATTAGCGGCGACTCTTCCTAAAGCTCCACAACGAAACTGCAAGGAACCACAACAAAAGTGTGCGGGATTTACTCCAAAATAAAAGTCCCTGTGCTGCCCAAGCCACGCACAGTCTCACTACAGCACCTCTATTTAGTAATAAACGCTAATTCACTTTTTGAGAGTGAAAGAGTGATAATCCCTGGGCTGAGCTGTCCAAGATTTGTGCAGATTTTATTGTCAGCTCCAAAATTACTCGCACCCTTGGGGAAAAAATAATGGGTAAACAGGTTATGGAAGAATGACTTTGTGGTTAATTAGCTTCATCTCACACTGAAATGCAAAGGGAGGAGCCACCAAACTACTAAATGTAATGTGAAAATTATTGGCATATGATTTTGGTTAAAAAAAAATATATATATATATATATATATATATATATATATATATATATATATATATATATATATATATATATATATATTTGCACTTAAAAAAAAATGTCCATCCATTTTCTGTACCACTTATCCTACACAGGGTCGCAGGGTAACCTGGAGTCTATCCCAGGGGACTCAGGGCACAAGGCAGGGGCCAACCCATCG